TGCTTGGTACGTCTGCTGCTCCGAGATGGGGTTCGTACCTGCAAAAGAGACTCCAATGCTTAAGTTAGTTTTTGTGGGTGTATGGGTCTCATATATATAATGCACGTACCTTGATATAATTTAGGGTTTTACCCTGTTGATAATTGAGTTGGTTAGGATTTGATAAGATTATGATCTTATCAGTTTATCTTATTAGTTAGGGAGCGGTCTGATTTGACAATCCGATGTGGCCCCAACCTCCAAGGTGCTGAGGTGGGCCCTGGTACCGATGTGGGTAGTACATTAGCCCCCTGAGCTCTGAGGGCTATTAGCTGAGGAGTTAAGATTGATTTGGGCGGTACACTAGCCTCCCGAGCTCCGAGCGCTTTAAGCCGAGGAGTTAGTGCCGAGTTCATATGAAGGGTCATGACTTTTCATTTTGATCTTCTGGGTCAAGTGCCACGTGTCCTCTAGGTGTCACCTTGTTTCGCGAACTGAGGCGGCCTGTCATAAAGGGTGACGGCTTGTAATGATGGGGCGTGCCCCATTATTATGAGGCGTATTTAATGCCTTTGCTATTGTGTCATTTTTTACTTTAAACATTTGCTTCCCTCCTTACTTCTCCATTACTGCTTCTTCGTTACCTTTGTCTCTCCGTTTCTTTGCTTGCGCTCCCTGTTGCCTCAATTGTTCCCTGTGGTAGTGCTTACTTCACTCGTCGTTTGACGTTCGCGAGTTTGGGTCCTAGGAGTGTCAGGTACTCGTTCTCATTCTCCCTTCTTCCCATTTCTCCTTTTCGCGTTTGTTTTTCGAACAATTGCCGGTGAGGGGCAGCAAGGTTTTGTTCCCCCTGCACCTTCTAAGGGCAAGGCTAAGGCGCGTGGGAAGGCGACGGCCGGGGAAATGGTCACTGCTGAAAAGAAAAGGGGTGGGAACAATCCGAAGGATTCTCACCCCACCATTTCCGTCCCGGGGTATGAATGGGTCAGGGGCGATGTTGGGGAGTTTGAAAGTCGATTTAGGGCTTTTTTGGATGTCAATGCCATGTGGAAAAAATTGAAGATTTGTAGTTCAAAAATTTCCAAGCTCATCCGGGTTGAGCCTTGCTAGCCCGGTGAGCGTGTTTATATGGCGGTTACTCCAAATACCCCATTTTTTTTATATGTACGAGTGTTTTTTCAGGGATCTCGGTGTTTGCTTGCCATTCACCGAGTTCGAGTGCGCCTTTCTTCGGTTTGTCAATGTGGCCCCCTACCAGTTTCACCCCAATAGTTAGGGTTTCTTAAGGGCGTTTCAGGTTTTGTGTTCAGCCCTAGGAATGGGTGTGTCTTTGTCTGTCTTCTTGCATTTCTACGAACTTAAGTTGGGCGAGCCTCCCCTAGGTTGGGTGTCTCTCAGTGGGAGTGAGGCTGGAGGGTTGTTCCAGCTTTACTCCTAATCATATAAAAATTTCAAAAAGGAATTTTTCTTGATCCGACCTATGGTTGCCGACCCAAGGGAAGAGGTGGTTTTCCACAGTGAGGGGGAGCTGAGGTTCCCTTTCTTTTGGCAGTGAAGCCTAGTCAAATTTAATGGGTCGAGATGTCTTCAGTTACCGGATTCTGACAGGGACGCCATCGCTAACTTGGTCGAGCTCCCATGCCCATTGGACAACAAACTCGTCTTGTCCCTTGCCAATTTGATGAATAAGGAGAGGGGTTTGGAGAGTGAGTACTTCACTATTTTCCGTTTGCATTTCCTGTTGTTTTTTTTTGCGATGTTCTTTATGTGCTATGCTATTTTATGTTTGCAGGTCTGATGGGAAAAGCAAGTGGCGTGAACTTAAGGCGCGTTTTAATACAGAGGAGCTCGAAGTGCCCGAGCCCGGCGAGGAGGAGGTTACTCCTCTGGAGACTCGTCGTAAGAGAAAGAGGGCGACAAAGGAGGTCGGTGGGACCTCGGCCCCTCCCGTTTTTGAGGAAGTGACATCAAGGGCCGCCGATGTCGACCCTATCTACTTGACCAGCAGTCCTCAACCTGAGGGGTCGCCGAGGAGGCCCGTGGTGGAGGTTGCTCCGGAGAAACAGGTTTTTACTTTGCCTTGTGATGTTCTCCTCGTGTCGTGTGCTATTTCTATTTTGTGACTTAGAAGTTTACTTTGAATACTTTGTAGGCGGCTTCGATGCCTTCCTCCGCCGAAGCTCGCGGGGAAGGTCTGAGTTTTGAGGTGCCGACCTCGGTTCGTCCTGCCGCTGCACCTCCTCCTCCTCCTCCTCCATGTGTTCCGAGGGGGAAGTGTATCGTGCAGCGCTTTGATGTAAGTCGTCCCTTGGCGAGATTGGACCATGTGAGCGTGTCGCCGGACGTAACATCATTGTGGAGTTCGAGCATGATCGTTGGGGGTTTTACAAGGAGGATCTGGCCTTTATTGCTGACAAGGCGATGATCGAAAAGGTTAGTCTGGTTGAGGGCTTGGATTCTGCGGAGGTATTCATGCAGAGGTCCATTGCCATAGTGGACCACTGGAAGCATAAGTGGTCAAAACTTTAGGGCGAGCTTGAGAAAGCGAAGAAGGGTGAGGCCGAGCTTGAAGCCTTAAGAAGGGATTTTTCAAAGACTAAGAAGTCTTTGGAAGTTTCCTTGAAGGCCAATGAGGCGTATGCCGCCCAAGTTGGTGACCTGCAAGAGGTTTCCAAGTCTTGTAGGGGGTGGCCGAAGGTGCTCGGGGCCAAGCTTGCTCGCTGGAGGAAGAGAATTTGGCATTGAAGGCCGAGTTGGGGGAGGCTGCCGAGAAGCATTTGTGTGATGAGGTACTTCTCACTAGCAGGGAGGAGGAGATTGCTTCCTTGAAGACTGACATGGATGTGTTATATAGATGACCACCTTTCTCATATATTTGGTAGTATAGGAGTTTATATTGTTTGGTCTTGTATTATGGGCCTTAGTATAAGACATTTTGGGTTTTAAGCTTATTGGGCCTAGTTTTGGGCTTCATGGGCCTTTGGGCTTTTGATTGCTTCTGAGCTTAGTGAGCCCAATGGGTTTGATGGGCCTAAGGTTCTCTTTACTTGGGTTTTATATAGATGACCACCTTTCTCATATATTTGGTAGTATAGGAGTTTATATTGTTTGGTCTTGTATTATGGGCCTTAGTATAAGACTTTTTGGGTTTTAAGCTTATTGGGCCTAGTTTTGGGCTTCATGGGCCTTTGGGCTTTTGATTGCTTCTGAGCTTAGTGAGCCCAATGGGTTTGATGGGCCTAAGGTTCTCTTTACTTGGGCTTTACATAGATGACCACCTTTCTCATATATTTGGTAGTATAGGAGTTTATATTGTTTGGTCTTGTATTATGGGCCTTAGTATATGACTTTTTGGGTTTTAAGCTTATTGGGCCTAGTTTTGGGCTTCATGGGCCTTTGGGCTTTTGATTGCTTCTGAGCTTAGTGAGCCCAATGGGTTTGGTGGGCCTAAGGTTCTCTTTACTTGGGCTTTACATGGATGACCACCTTTCTCATATATTTGGTAGTATAGGAGTGTATATTGTTTGGTCTTGTATTATGGGCCTTAGTATAAGACTTTTTGGGTTTTAAGCTTATTGGGCCTAGTTTTGGGCTTCATAGGCCTTTAGGCTTTTGATTACTTCTGAGCTCAGTGAGCCCAATGAGTTTGGTGGGCTTAGGGTTCTCTTAACTTGGGCTTTACATGGATGACCATCTTTCTCATATTTTTGGTAGTATAGTAATTTATATTGTTTGGTCTTGTATTATGGGTCTTAGTATAAGACTTTTTGGTTTTTAAGTTTATTGGGCCTAGTTTTGGGCATCATGGGCCTTTAGGCTTTTGAATGCTTCAAAGCTTAGTGAGCTTAATGGGTTTGGTGGGCCTAGGATTCTCTTTACTTGAGTTTTATATGGATGAGCACCTTTCTCATATTTTTGGTAGTATAGGAGTTTATATTGTTTGGTCTTATATTATGGGCCTTAGTATAAGACTTTTTGGTTTTTAAGTTTATTGGGCCTAGTTTTGGGCATCATGGGCCTTTAGGCTTTTGAATGCTTCAAAGCTTAGTGAGCCCAATGGGTTTGGTGGGCCTAGGATTCTCTTTACTTGAGTTTTATATGGATGAGCACCTTTCTCATATTTTTGGTAGTATAGGAGTTTATATTGTTTGGTCTTATATTATGGGCCTTAGTATAAGACTTTTTGGATTTAGGGTTTAGGGTTTAGATGTAATTTAGTAGAATGAAAAAAAAATATTATTTTGCTTAAAAAAATTCGTATGACAAATTTGTAGTTAGAACGGCCCGTTCCGAGCTTAGAACGGTCCGTTCTGGTTTAATTATTTGTGTTATTTTTGAATTTGGAACGGGCTGTTCTGATTTCGGAACGGGCCGTTCCGGTCCTTTTGGTCATGTGTTTGTTTTTCATCCGAAACGTCCCATTCTGATCCAATATTCATGTGTATATTTTTCATATGGAACGACCCGTTCTGATTTCAGAACGGCCCGTTCCGGAACTGAAAATCAGCTACGTCTGTACGTCATAACACGTGTTTGTTTTTGGGTAGTTGAAAAAAAAAACATATTTCAGTAAAAAATTCGAAATTTTTGATCCTGTGTGTGAAGGTGTATAATATACTATCACTAATCTCAACCATTCATTATTTTTTATATTATATCTATGGTCATTATTGATCACCACCTATGCACCACTTGTGAAACTTCCCTATCAGAGACATCACCAAAATTATAACCATCCATCACTTTAATCCCTAACTTTATATATATATATATATATATATATATTAGATCATAGCTTTATAAAATGACATTTAGATTACTCTTTTCTGGTACAAAATGAAAGTGGAAAACGAAGTGAAAAAAAGACTAAAATGAATGACTTTTTTACAACGTTTGGTGCGAAAGCAGACTTTAAAGTCAGGAATTTAAATGACCATCTTACAATCTAAAGGGATTTACTCATTTTCCTTTCAAATAGAGTCAATGGTCCAAAAGATATTGAACCTAAACTACTATAGTTCAAACATAAAATCAGATTTAAAAGGGCAAAACTCACAAAATCTTACACAAGGATGACCTCAGATCACATATATCAACATTAATTCGTATGAAATGCAAAACATTACATAACATTGTAGCATAAAGATTCTGAAAGCAGTTACACTATCTAACTATTATGACGAGGCATAAAAGCCATGAAACTTGAATGAGATCATACTTGACAAAAAATTTCCCTGTATGTTCTAGCAACCCATTTTCCACTACTCAAAAAAATACGATAAAAAGAATCAAAAGTTACTCTAGTTGGTTGAGCAACATTTGAGAGTCACCATCATCCATGTTTTCACTGTCAACGATATCATCACTTCTATCTTCTGTATCAATCTTGCTTGACAATTCACCTTTGTCAATGGTACCATCAGATGAGCCAATGAGTGAAGCATAAACTTTAATTTTACTAAATTTTGACTTCCTCAACAATCCAATTAAAACCTCAGCACTTTCCATGTCATCTTGCTCTTGACAAAGCTCAAGGAATGCAGATAAGTTTAAGAGTTTTGGTTTCCAACTCTTTGAACCCCCAGCAGCCATAAAAGCTTCTTTCAAGCAAAACAGGGCATCAGAAATCCTCTTTTCTGCAATGTGGCCCTCATAAAGAACCTCCCATGTATTTGAATTTGGAATGCCACCATCCTTCTTCATCTGCTCAAAGAAACTCAAAGCCTTATCTGTATTGCCTTTCTTAACATACCAGCCAAGAAGAAGGTTTCCGATTCTAGGATCATATGTTGCCTTTACTGAAACCCATTCCTCATAAAGTTTTTCTGCACCTTCAATTTCATCCAATTTTACAAGAGGAGAAATAATAGCATGGTATCCCAAGTTTGGTATACTTGGAAAAATTGATTTGTAAGTATTCCACACACGATACAGTTCATCTTTCTCTCCAACAAGTCCATATAAACTCAGGAGATAATGAAAAGGTATTCTATCTCGACCTTTAATTATACCCTCAACCTTTCTTAAGCACTCTACTGCTTTTTCATTCTGATCCATCCTAATGTACATTGAAGCCATTGTGCTGAATGTTGACCAGTTGGGGACAATGGTAGGATCCTTTTCCATCTGTTCAAACACTTGTTCCATCTTTTCTATTGATCCTTGAGATCCACAAGAAGATAACCAGATATTATATGTATAGATATCTAGCTCTATGTTTTTTTCCATCATTTCAGAAACCAACATATCAACTTTATCATATTCCTCAAGGTTCATGTACAGAGTCATCATTACATTAAATGGCAGTGGATGTATTACATACCCTTTACTCCTCATTGTGTCAAGTAAAGATTCTGCCTTTTCCTTCGATCTAGAATGCACGTATACATTCAAAAGGGCACCATAAGTCCTCTTCTCTTTTAACTTCTCTTCCAGACTCAGAAAGAATACTTCTGCACTAGAAACTCCACGAACTTTGGCAATTAGATCTAACTGAATTGCTGCATCACTCGCAGAAACTCTAAACCGCTCTGGTCTATTGTTCATCCAATCATATACCTGCAACAATTGCTCATTGATTTCAAAAAATTGTACATGGCTCATATTACGGCATCCGAAGCAAATTAGTAAGCATAATCAGAAACAGTAAGTGATTTCATAATTCAGTACATTCCAAAGGAAGCATGCCATTAGTTTCTTTTACTAGCAGTGTTTGCATATTTGGAATTTACAATTAACAATGATGTTACAGTCACAAATTATGTTATCGTATATGTTTATTTATCCCATAAAACCAAGTACCCTAAATAAATAGTAAAGAAATAACATTTATGAAACTATTAATCAGAATCTACCTCAACCTTACAAAACCCACTTGTAAAATAAGAATTGTTTCACACTTACTATTATGACCTTACCTATAGTCAATGTGGGATCTCCAATCCCTCACACCAAAGACCAGATATCCCAGGTGTAAAGTTTGCATGACTAAACACCTGCCCGTAATCCAACAGAACCCAATTGAAAGTAGCTTGATAACCCCAACAACAATTCATAATTACTAGAAGCCTATTTGGACACAAGCTTAAAAGAGTTTAGGAGAGCTTATATACTAGAAAAAGCTCTTCATTTCCAATAAATAAGCTTCAAAAGTTAGCTTTAAACTCTGTTTAGATACAAGCTTAAAAGGGTTTTTGAGAATTTATCTACTATAAAATAAGAGTATTTTTTGGCATAGAAACTCTCAAAACTCTCAAAAGGGCTCCTAAACTTGTGTCTAAAGTCTAAACCGACTCTAACAATGAAAAAGTTTATTTTGACTTCCCTTCCTAATTTCCTCTGCTTAAAGTGCTTCGTAGAAACTCATCCAAACATTCCCTTAAGCTCAATTCTACCAGAACTCAGACCAATTACTTACACATCAGTCTAATTAGAAGAAAGCAATGAAATTGACGATTTCTTCACTAAAAAGTAAAAGCACACATCGATAGAGACAAAAGCAGCCAATTTAGAAGAATGAGTATTGACCTCAAGGGCTCTATGATACTTCCTGTACTTCCTCAACTCCTTGACAACTCTAGAAAGCTCCCACTTGGTGAGGTGCCTGCCTTGGTTCTCCCACTGATTGAGCACGGTGGCGGAGCCCACATCGGGGTCGTTGTTGAGCGACACCCTGCGGTACACGTCGTTCCAGCGCACGATGGGCCTGCGCTCGTAGTCCACCGTGCCGTAGCTGTGGATCTTGGAGATCGAGCACGTGACCGAGAGACGAGGGAAGCAGCACGTGCGAGCCGCGGCGAGAGAGTGGTGGGAGGGGAGCGGGGGGGAATAGCAGAGGGAAGAGGAGAGAGAGAGGTTTTGGTTGTGAAGAGAGGATTGAGGTTGAAGTGGAAGGAGACTCATCTTACTAGCTCTATGAGACTGACTGAACGAGTGTAACGGTGGCTACTTGTTTCGGAAATACTGGGTCAGGAACTAGACAAAGTTTGAAGAGATAAATAGCACGCACCTGTGCGAAATTTCTGAAAAAAATAAAAATTACTTTTTTTTATTACAAGGAGTTTTTCAAATAAATTGATAGGTTTAAATCAGCACATGTTAGAAAATTGGTATTTTTGTTTGTGGGGATTAAACAATCACTTGTTTTTCTTAAAATAAATAAAAATTACCAGTATCTTAGTCAATATTTTTAATAGAATAATTAATAGGTTTCTAATATAATTATAGGTCATAATAAATAATATTTTTAAATATATAAGTTATATGTTTGATTATGATAAATTACCATTTTAATTTGAGTATTACATATAAGAATACTTTTTTTTAATAAAATTATAATTCATAATAAATAAATATTTAAAAATATGTTATATTTTAGTTTTATGACAAACTAGTATTTTAGTCTATATGTAACACCTAAGATAAATGTTTATTTGATATAACTTTAAAATTCATTGCAATTAAGTATTTTTAAAATATAAGTTATATTTTAAATTTATTGCAAGTAGTTTATTTTATGATTCAAGGTTATTTTAACTATTGATAATTTTTTTCTTAAAACAATCTTGAAGTTCAATTTGGAAATAAAGATGAAAAATAATAAATTGAAAGATATAAAATGTTAAATAATTTAAAAAAAAAATTAAGATGTTCTTGCTAAAGAAAAAGTTCATAGAAAGTGCTTGTATTGAAGAAAACTAAAATAATAATAATAATAATAATAATAATAATAATAATAATAATAATAATAATAATAATAATAATAATAATAATAATAATAATAAGCTTTCACTCAATATATGTTTGAATTTATTTAGAGATGGGGGAGAGAAAGAATGGTTTAAATTGTGATATAAGATTTTTTTTAAAAAGTTTAAATCAATATGTGGTTTAAAAACAAGTATACAATTGAAAATAAAAGGAATACTAGTTTGTGATTATTGAATGAGATACTTTGTTGTTAGTTGCGAAAAATATTTGTAAAATACACTTTTTTGTAAAATACACTTTTTAAGGATAAATGAGAGGGAAAGTTAAAATTTTTTAATTAAGGAGACGAGGAAGTGACTATAGAATGTAAGGAAACACAATAAAAGGATTGAAGTGTTTTTAAGGAAAACAAATCACAAATATGTTCATAACACACATTATTGTCTTATCAAATAAACAATGTTGAAATGTGTTCTTACAAGACTTAGGTTAGTTCTTAGCTCGGTAGAATTACATCCTTCTTCTTCATCTCGGTCTTGCTCTTGTAAGGGATTGAATAAAGTTGGTCTCTAAGATTAGTCTTCTCGGTTGATCTTCTCCTCATGCACCTTGGATGTACCTGCAAAAAGGACTCCGACAATCAAGTTAGTTATATGAATATCCCTCATGTTTTTCATTATATCCTTACCTATTCTCTGTGGTTATTCCTCAAGTAACTGCATAACTGCTTACGCAGTTATTTCCTTCTTGACAGTTGAGCCAATTATCATAAATGATGTATTCAATGTCGTCAACATATTGAGATGTATTGCCCTTCTTTATGCCTAGTGTAACACGTATAATCTTTTATGTCAACTCAGCTCGGCATGTATTATCATCAACTTGCCCAAGCTGTGATCTCGGTCAAGCCGTGCTATGAGCTCGGTTAAACTCGACTTTGAGTCAAGTTGGTACATAAGCCCCCCAAGCTCTGAATGATGATGGAAGAGTGAAAGAACTGAGAAACGCAAAGAACATCTCGGCTAACTTCAAATATGAAAAGACATTGTGAGGGGTAGTGACGTTACGGGTCTGACGACTCCACGTGTGAAGCATTAAAAGTGATTCGAAGGCTTCAAGCCCTGTTTCAGCGGAGAGCATGGATTCCCTTGGCACCTTTCTTCCATAGCTTAGCACGTTTAAAGAAGGTGCCTACACTTTAATATAAAAACCTTTTTTACGTTGGATGAAAGCTTGATCTACGCATTTTGGAGCTCCACTCTGCCTTTTGCTTGCGGCGCGGCTTTGGTTTCCACGACGATGACGAGCCTGTCATTCGGGCTTACATTTGTGAGAACGTTCACGTTTCCTTTTCCCATGTACACTTAATTGCAAGTTCCCTTTTTTTTATGTATTTTTCATTTCCTTTTCCCTGTCTACTTTCCATCTTCACTACTACTTGTTCTTTTCTTCATTTTTTTTAATATTATTATTTTAAATCTTCTGCACCCTCTCGTTTCTTCATCTAATTAGATAAACGACTGATCTTAGGCCCAAGGCCCAACGCAGCCCTAATTCACACTAAGGTAAGTGCATTACTTATATGAGACATACACTCATACAAATCCTAACTTTAACATCAGAGTCTCTTTTGCAGGTACCACCCCCATCTTGGAGCACTAGCGTACCAGTAAAGGAGACTCACCGATCTTACCTGACGGATTATCTCCACAGCAGATCTCCGATAAGAACAAATACAATTAAGAGAAAAAAAAATTCTAAATTAGAATTTACATAAATTTTTTAAAGATTTAACTTTAGAAATTTATTCTACTAAAATATTAAGCAAGAAAATTATAGAAAATTGTTTGATACAACATAAAGAATTTTATCTTAAATATAGTATGTTTAGAATAATTAATAAAATTATCTAAGAAAAAGTAAAAATTCAAGTTTCAACCAGTTAAAATATTCTAAGTAAGAAATTTCTGAGTAATTAAATTAAAATTAATTTCAATAATTAAGAGATAATTAAGGAGTCTAATCCAATGCTTTGAGGGTGAAGAATTTAATGGTGAATTTATTTTTTCTTAATTCTAATTAGATTGTGAGATAATGAGAGGAATTATAGAAAATTCTAGAAAAACCTATAAAATCAATAGTATAAAAGAGGTATTCCATGTCGATTATTTTGAGCTTTTTACGTCAAAAAAAATACCGACGTTAATGCGGGAGACATAAATTTATGTCGGCATTGTAATATCGACGTAAATTTACATCGGACATTACCAAGATCCGATGTAAAAAAATAGTAAAAAAAAATAAATAACGAGTGCAAGAAGAACGGCCTGTTCTGCTCGCAGAACAGCCCGTTCTCCAAGCAGAACGACCCGTTCTCCATTCAAAACGACCCGTTCTGCTCGTTCCAAATGTAGAAGAAACGAGAGGGTGCAGAAGATTTAAAATAATAATATTAAAAAAAATGAAGAAAAGAACAAGTAGTAGTGAAGATGGAAAGTAGACAGGGAAAAGGAAATGAAAAATACATAAAAAAAAGGGAACTTGCAATTAAGTGTACATGGGAAAAGGAAACGTGAACGTTCTCACAAATGTAAGCCCGAATGACAGGCTCGTCATCGTCGTGGAAACCAAAGCCGCGCCGCAAGCAAAAGGCAGAGTGGAGCTCCAAAATGCGTAGATCAAGCTTTCCCTTGTTGCCATCTGCAATGTTGGTGTGTATGAAAAAAAAAGCATCAAGGTTTTTCGAAGGCTTCAAGCCCTGTTTCAGCGGAGAGCATGGATTCCCTTGGCACCTTTCTTCCATAGCTTAGCACGTTTAAAGAAGGTGCCTACACTTTAATATAAAAACCTTTTTTACGTTGGATATAATAAAGTCCGACGTAAAATGTAAAATTACATTAGAAAGAAAGAGAAAAAAAATAAAAATCTGGGGCCTCACAGATAACGTTATGAACTAAGAGCCTCAGTTTTGGGAACTGGGAAACGTGAATGGGTGCGGCGCTCAATCATTACGATTGGGTTCTGCGCTTGGAACAATTAATATGCCCTAGCTATAGTCATAGCAAGGGTTACACTAATGAGCCGCGGCGCTTGGGCAAGAAACGAAAGGGTGTCATTTCCTATATATATGCAAGCAAGTGGGTTGTGAGAAGAGCTTTTACTACAATTTTGTTAGCGAGCAGCGTTGGTCAAAACCGGAAAGGTTTATCACAGAGCAAGAGCGAGAAATCAACAGGTATTCCATTCCACTTTCGAATTTTCTTTTTATTTTGTGATCGGGGTAAAAAGGAGTGAGACAGATGAAAAAGGTGAAAGGGGAAAAGCTTAAGGGAACAGAGGCGAATGTACGTAAAAGGGGAGGGAATAATAGAAAGGATTCATACCTAAAAATCCCACATCGCTTAGGAGTCGATGCTAAGGGTAGTTTATAAACATCCTTCCTCCTTAATCCACCGAGGTGTCTTTTTAAGGACAAAACCGTGACGACCCAACGAGCACCAAAGCGGACAATACCTCGGATGTAGTGACCCTAACGATGATAACGGACTTACGGTAGGAACATTGGCGCTAGAAGGAGGGCCCAGGCCACTCTTGCCCCTTAGCATCAACTGGGGGGCTTGTTCCGGTATACTTAAAAATCCCACATCGCTTAGGAGTCGATGCTAAGGGTAGTTTATAAACACCCTTCCTCCTTAACCCACCGAGACGCCTTTTCAAGGACAAAACCATGACGGCCCAACAAGCGCCAAAGCGGACAATACCTCAGATGTGGTGACCCTAACGATGACAGCGAACTTATGGTAAGAACAAAATGGATGACATGTGAAGTGTTTAACTCCATAATTGTTTTGATTATAAAAAAGTATTAAAATTTAATGTAAACACGTACAAATTAACTTGTAATAATCACACTTTTATAAAGAATAATTATAAAATAGACCAATCACAAATATGTTCATAAAACACATTATTATCTTATCAAATAAATAATGTTGAAACGGAAAGACATGTGAAGTGTTTAACTCCACAATTGTTTTGATTATAGATCATTATTTACGACCTTCAAATTAATCTTCACACGAAATCTTACTATGTGCCCTCCCTCTTTTGAGTCCAATTTCCCTCACCCAAAATTTGAGACTTGTATCACTAATTGGTAGCTATAATGGGACCATGGAGTAGGATGAAGAATTACAAGACAGAGGGCAACAATAAAGCATGGAGCAACAGTAAAGCGCGACATGTAACATACTAATTTTTTTAACTTATATGTATAATTATCTCTAAATTATTATATATTTTATTGTAATAAATATGAATTTAATATTATATAAGTTTATTGTGAATCAAATTTATAGTGTTATTTAACAAATTTTTCTGAACACAATTACGTGTATTTTATTGTTTAATTTAACTGTTTCATGGACAGTCTCATGGACACGTGATAAAATGTAAAAAACTAGGTATAAGAAAGTTTAAGTAATTTGTAACCTAAATGATAATCTATTATCAGTAGATTAAAATAAATACTGTACTATCTGTATTGTCATGCCGAGCTCAAGCTCGACACCACGACATAGGGTGACCTCGGAACGCGCATTTGGAGACCTCGGCCTAGACGAGGTCCACAATCCGACCAGATCATAACCAATCTCAGGAGATCTCGGTCCAGGCGAGATCCGTTATCTAATTAGATAAACGACTGATCTCAGGCCCAAGGCCCAATGCAATCCTAATTCACACTAAGGTATGTGCATTACTTATACGAGACATACACTCATACAAACTCTAACTTTAGCATCGGAGTCTCTTTTGCAGGTACCACCCCCATCTTGGAGCACCAGCGTACCAGTAAAGGAGGCTCACTGATCTTACCTGGCGGATTATCTCCACAACAGATCTCCGGTAAGAACATTTGGCGCCCACCGTGGGGCCGATCAAGACAACTCTTATCAGCCACGCTTATGGTTTGCACCAGAAGCCATAGTAGACGCGCAACAGGAAACCTAGATCATCCATCTACCATGGATAACGAAGTAGCATTGAGGAGGTTGATCGATCAGGTCGAACAAATGCGGAAACAACACGATGCTGATCTGCAGAACATGCGTGCCAAGCACGAAACTGACCTAGCTGCAATACTGACCACTAATGAGGCTGACCTAGCGGCGCTACGCGCTAAAAACGAGTAGATTCGCGCTCAACTCCCTCAGCGACACTCTGATCATCCTCCTCATACGAGTAACCACAATGAGGAGGAGGAGCACTCAGTCTCTCAACCCCAGACTGCAACTAGGGCACCGACTCAACGACCTGCCACGCATCGGTCTCATGCACCGACGCACAAGTCGGCCCATGAAGTCAGCAAGGCCCCTACTCATGTCGTAGGGGATCAGGCAACCTTCCGCCGCCACCCTTTTGTGGATGGCATCATGGAGACACCACTCCCTCATGGGTGGAAGCCTTTCCACCTCGATCGCTATGATGGCACGACGGACCCAGATGAGCACATCGACCTGTATACAACACAGGTAAACCTCTACACTAACAATGACGCTATTTTGTGTAGGGTTTTTCCAACCTCGCTTAAGCGGGCCGCGCTCAACTGGTACACCCAACTGCCTACCGAATCCATTGATAGCTTCGGCACCCTAGTCAGAAGGTTCACAGCGCAGTATGCGACGAGCCGACCTTACCATGTCACTTCAGCCGCCCTGGCCAGTCTTAGGCAAAACGATGACGAACCACTCCTAGCGTTCATGGAACGATTTTTCGCCACCTCGGTTAAGATCAAAAGTCTAAACCCCAAGGTCGCCCTGCATGCCATGCTTATGACACTCAAGCCTGGTCCATTCGTCGACAGCCTATGTCGTGAGTCTCCTCGCGACATGGACGAGCTTCGCGCTCGCGCGGCGGGCTACATCCAGATGGAGGAACACTCCGCTTTCCGTGACCAGGTTCGTGGAAAAGGACCAACGAAGCTAGAACAGGGGCACAAGGATAAAATCAAAGTCAACAATGACAGTCAGTTCAAGAAATCGACTAGGGAAAACCGAGGGGGGGATATGACTTCTACACTCCCCTAAACACACCAGAGTC